TCTAAAAGTTATTAAATATATGTTGAGATATCTTTTTTTTTCTTGTAAAATTTGATATTTTTGATTTTCAAAAGTCTTTAAACTTAAAATAATGAATTATTTTTAAAATCTCTAAGTAAATATGGACCTAATACACTTTGGACCATTGGTTTAATTTTTTTATAAATTAAGTAAAAGATATCTCTGATGTTTCTATGTGACAATTTTATCTAACTTTCAAAAAATTCGCATCCATCTTTAAAAAAATATCTATTTTTTTATTATTGATTCAAAAAAAAAAAAACTGTTTTTGTGATAAATCTTTATAAAATATATTAAAATGTAAATATTATAAAATTTTTCTTTATTTGTCACTTGACATTTAAAAATTTTTTAAAAGATTTTGTAGTTGATAAAATATATTTTGTAAAAATAATATTAGTGGATATAAGTATATATAAAATGAATCAGTAGGTATTTTATAAATTAATAGGTGTATAGTAAAATTAGTAGGTATAAATAGTATATATAAAATAGTATGAAAAAATGTTTATAGATATCTTAACTTGTATTTTTTGCTTTCATGTTTAGCTGAGAAATGCAATCAGATCATTTTTTGAAGTAAGTTTATGTTTATTCTACTTTATCGTGTTATTAGAATATTTAAACACACTTAATATTACTTTTCATTTATTTGGACGAGATAAGCAGGCTTTGTAGGAAAAAAACGCTTGAAAATTTTTGAAGTTTGAAGTTTTTTCTTTTTATTATTAGATTTTCATAACTGTTTATACTGTTTATACTGTTTAAACAATTTTTTTACTTTTATATTTTTGTTTTGTTTTGTGTTTTTTTTTTTAAATTTTATTTTGTATTCATGCGTTTCAAAGTTATGTTTTCATTAAAATGATCTCCAAACGATCTAGATTTTATTATTCTTTTTTTTTTGTAAACTTGTATTGTAACTTCATTAAATATTTTTATGAAGGAAAAATTTTCTTACTTGGTTACATATTAGTAACCAAGTAAGAAAACTGATAAACATTTTTATTATTGAGTTTTTCATTGGTTACAACAGTTTTGTTATTGAAAGACTTCCAAGAATGTAAAGACTGGTACTTTTAATACAAAATGTAACAGATACAAAAAAGTATTTTAGAAATTATAATTAGTATATTTAAAGAGACTGTTTGAATAATACTGTTACATTATATTAGTAATGAACTGAAGTGTTAACAGAATTTTTTATTTTTACAGGTTTAAATGTTTTCTATTAACATTTATTCATTCATAGTTGGCATATATCTTAAAAAAAGGTGTTTTCTTATTTATATTCATTAATATCCATTTAAATGCTGTAGATTCAAAAACAAATCATTTTTTAGTTTGTTTTTCAAAGTTGATAAACCACGGTTAGCACGGATCCTTATAATGCCTACCTAGCTGTCCCAAGAACGCCACTTATACGGAAAGTTAGAGTACACATCAAGGTACCCTGTGATGCAAATTTTGAAATCATTTAATTTTGTCAGCGGAAAATAATTTAATTTTAATGTTCAAATTAAATCAAATTTTGATTTCATAGTGCGCCAATAAAAACACTTGTAGAATTTGAACCACTCACTATAATTTGATAAAAATTGATGCAAACGTAGCCAATAGTCGCACCAAACTCTGGACAAACTTTAGCCTGATTGGATGACTGGTGTAGAATTTATTACGGTTTTAGTTGAAGTTTTGTCAGTTTTTTGTTACTTATATCTCAAAGCGTTACCGATTACTTTGAAATTCGGTCACTATTTTTAAAATAACGGTTACATGAGCGTTCTACTATGTAATATCAACAATTTTTGTTATAACTAATTTATCGGTACATGTACTGTTTTTATTTTATAGACCAAAATAGTGATTTTCTACTTAAAGCGTGATTTAAATAGTCTTATGCTAATAGTGTCGGCACGGCCTTCAAAGAGGAGGAGGTCAAACCCTCAGTTTCTAAAATAAAATTCATAATTTCTAAAATAATTGCCTATATTTCTAAAACAAAAGGTTCTCGCAAAAAAAAAGTAGAAAAAGACATGACCCCCTAGCCTCCCCGGCGTTGACGCCCATTTATGCTTCGCTTGAATATACCAACATTTCCTAAGGTATAAACTGCTGCCAAAACAAAAAGCTAAAAAAAATTTGCAAAACCTGGTCAAATGACAACCAGTTAGTAAAACAAAAAAAAAAAGTAGATCTCCTAAAATATTTTCTATTGACCTTCTTAAATACAATTACTTTTAAAATAAAGTGAAAATTATTTATTACATTGTATTACCATCAAATATCTAATTAAATTTTAAGAAATATTTTTTTTGATTTTCTCCACCAAAAGATTATTAATAAATAGCTCAATGTACTCTACAAATACTCTATAATACTACTTTTAAAGATAATGAAAATATTCATTATACGCCATAAAATATGAATTTCAGCAGCCTAATTTTTAATAACTGAAATAATGCTCTTTAGAGATGCTTACTGTTTAGATCAATTATGCAGCGTAACAATCTTTCTTTGTACTCTGGATGATTATTATTTGGCTTATAACTCGACCAATATTGATTAAAATATTAAAGAGAAGTTTCGACAGTTTGTTCACTATAGGGCCTCAGGGCGGATCCATTGTGACTGATGAAATCCTTGATGTGGTAGAAGACGGCGTAAATTTTGGGTGTTACGTTTGCATGAATTTATTAGGTAACATTTTTTAAAATTTTCAATTTTTTAGCGAAATCCGGCTGAAGGATTTATCCAAAGCAAGCCTTGACAACTAAATTGAAGCTTTTGAATGCTCCAACTATGCACACAATATTGGGAACCATGTTTGTCTCAGCAAGTTGCTGCAGCACATCTACATTAATAAGAAGCTTCCTGCATTCATTTCCCTCAAACTGGCCCCCGTGATACGGGCTCAGTTAAATTGAGAGATCGGCTGGCCAATTGACAGCTTTTATCCAAGCAGTTTAAAGGATCTTGAAAAGATGGTCGACAACTCCTAAGAGGATATGCAATTCCATCGGTGCAATGATTTTCAAAATCAGAACATTGACAGCCTCGCAGATGATTGGCTTTCGAATGACGTTGCCAAACGCTTTCGCATTAGCAACCTTATGTAATAAGCTTCATATCTATTTTCTGAAGATTTAAAAAATATAAAACTATGTCTTCAAAAGATAAAATAACTTCTTTTAGTTTTTTCTTGAATGAAAGATAATTCCATTCATGTGAAAAATCAAAATTTTTCAAAACAATTTTGTTCCAAGGAAAAGCTCTTCGAAATGAAATCATCATACCTAGAGGTAGCCTGTTCAACAAGCTGTTGAACAGCTTGTTGAACAGGCTACCTCTGCTAAGGTTTTGAAAAAAATAATATTTTTTTAAAACCTTAGTAGTTTATTATAGTGTGAATAGATGTATGAATTAGAATTTACAAATTTAATGAAACATTTATAATAAATTGATAGGGTAGTATTAATTTTTTATAGGTATTGGCAGGCTGTACTTGTTACCTTCCTACAATTAAAACAACCTCCAACTACAAGCCAATTTAAAATACTTTTCATAACAGCATGTTCTAAGAAGAATTTCTTTAAATTATTTTTGGAACTTGTTTAATGCTGGTTTTTTTACCAAATTTTAAGTTAAAAAGATCTATTCACATATAGATTTTGAGTTTTTTAACAATTATTTTTATTTAGGAGTATAATTATAAATAGAGAGTTCATTTTTTGTAATAATTTTTCTGCAAATATCAATTTGATATTATATTATTAATATGAGAGTATAATCTCAAGATATAACTAAACAAATGATTGGATGAAGTTTATAGACCTAAGATCAATACGTTTGTTTATTTATAAATCATAAACAAGTTTAGCGCAAAATATCTGTACCGTTAGAAACATTCACAAAACAATTTCGACATTGATTGGTTTATTTAAATTTTATTATTTTTACATGGTTTTCACTTACTTTGACTTTAAGTGTGAAAACACGCGTAAACTGGCAATCGGGAGATTTACGAACAAAAATTAACGGCTTGATTAGTGATGTTGTGGTATAGCGCTTGCTTCATAAGCGAGAGGTTCCATGTTTGATCCCCACCGCATGCCTATTAGTATCGCGCTCAACTTTTTTCTTAACGCAGCGCTCTTGCTTGTCAAGGTTCGTATTTCGCAGTTATACAGTTGAAAGAGGGTATAACCACAGATAAGTAGCTCCTTGTCTGTAGTGGCCTTCTCAGCCTTGGGGAGATAAATTTACATAAAAAAAAAAATAAATGAAAAAAATAGTAGGCCATGGTAGTGGCGTGATCTATGTATACAAATGCGAAGTTGAGTGTTGAAATTCTAGAGCAGTATGTTTTTTTTTTTTTTGTTTAATACGTATTGACTATTATCGTTGTTCAATTATATAACTATATTTTAATTAATTTCTATTTAATAATCATATTATTATTATTTTTCATTGGTGATGTAGGCGTAGACTGCGGATACGACTAAGCCATTGAAAATATATCCGTAGTTAACATTAGGTTCGTTCTCAACAGCGGAGTCTATATTAATTTTTTATTTTATTTCAGGTGCCCCAAGAAGTCCTTACGGTCTTATCACAAAGCACCGCGGAAGAGCATTTGAAAGGAAGTTCACGCCTTTTTTCTTATCGATGTTATAAAACTTGCCTAGAGGTGGAGTTGAACCACGGATCCCTAGCTTCTGAGGCAATCAACTGACTTAAATTGGAGTAGCCGCTATGGAATATTTTTTTTTAATTAATTTGTTTAATTTGTTTAATTTCTTTTAATCAAAAGAAAGGTTTTTTTAAGTTTGAAACTAAAAAGGAAAAAATTGTTGAGTCACAAAATTGGATATCCCCTCGCTCCCTTACCAAATCATTATATAATCTCTAACCCCTTCCTCTTCCCTATCGCCTAGCTTGTGGACAACCTCAACCATCTAAAAACTCTTTTTTTCTTAGCTACTTAAATTTTTTTTTAATTGTTTGAAGTTACAAAAATTTTTCCACGGTAATCAATTAAAAAATTGTGAAGGTTTGACTGATCTTGAATATATCTATAAATTTCATCTATATAGTCCGTGTCATCATGAAGAATTAGAGTCAATCCTTCACAAACACTAATCCACGGATAAAATTTTTTAAAGTCTTTATTTGGTATTAAACTAGTGTTAATGTCAATTGTCAACCATTCAATTTTTTCCTGTGGTTTCCATCCGTCCATTTCAAATGCGCAATAAAAAACTGCATCACAAACGTTTGTTGAACATTTAATCATAAGACTTATCTCATCTTTCGTTAAAATATTTTTTGAAATTACTACCTTCCACATCTTTCTTTGCGAGTTAGCAAAACAATCCACAAAATATTTTTCATATTTAACTTCATGAGGTGTTTTTTCATCATTTATTAATATCTCCCACCCTTGCTCATCAATGAGTGCTTTTATGTCATCTGTGATTGTAGATTTAGATTTATAAAAATCTTTCATAAATATCTTCCGATGTTCTTGATTATCTGGAAACAAGAAAACTATTATTATTCATATGAAATGATAGCAATATTATTTTTTTAAGTAAAATTGTCTAAAAAATTCTGTTAATGTCGAAATTTATTCTCTCAGTATTTCTAAATATGATTTTTAAAAGTTTTATTTTTATTTCTAAATAAATTAGTTCACAGAGGCAGCAGGTATCAACTATTTAAATCACAAAAAAGTTTCTATGAAATAAAGAAGTTTAAGAGCAAGAAAATGCTTGATAGGAAACTTAAGGTACAAAAAAAAAACGTAAAAGTTTTTTTTTTTAATATTAATTCACTCAAAACAAAGCTACAAGCAACCATTATTACGTTTGGAGTAAAGGGGCATCCATAAAGCGCGTACGCAGTGAAACCCCTGATTAAGGACCCCAATTGTACGAACTTAAACGTTATACCTATACGTACGCATCAATTAGTCAATTCGTACGTACTCGCTGATAGACAATTCTTACGTACTCGTCTTTATACCCCCCTCCGTACGGATTCGTACGTTTTTTGGCCATACCTGGGTACGTACTTTATGGAAGACCCATACTAGAAAACAAAGAATTGAAATGGACTAAGGTTTTATGAGTCAGGAAAACGTAATGATGGGAAAGAGTTCCAAATTATTGAAGTGAGTGGAAAAAAATTTGATAAAAGTTTTTAGAACTGAAGGGAAAAGATACAGTAAAAGAATGAGACTTAGTTAAATAGCGAGTCAAGAAAGAATAGTTTTTAGTTAATGGAACTAGAGATGATGGCTCCTTTGAGCAGCGCCTCGAAAGTTTTGAAGAAAAGAAAAAAGATGCAATGGTACAGCGATGGAGGAGAGACCTGTTTCATCTCCCAAGCTCAAGCTTCAATTACTGTTTCATCTCCCAAGCTCAAGGTCCAATTACGTTAACAACGCGTATTTAAACCTTGTCTAAAAAAGAAAGAGCATCTTTAGAAGAACCAGCCTAAACATGACAACATTATTTCATACAAGGACGAATAAGTTTGTTGAGATAGATGGAATCAGGATGATAACAAGCACAATAAGGAGAAGCAACCTAAACGAATGTAAATGTTGCATTAGATTGTATATATAGTTTCCATGAGAGGTCAGTAGTGAATGATAATTTAAGAAGTCGTTCGTTGTTTACTAAAGAACAGTTTAATGCTATATATACTATGTAATAGATTTTCGTTCAAAATATTTTTAAGGGCTCCGAAAAATGATTCAGCCTAAGGCCCTCGAGTGTGTAAACCGGGCCTGTCAATGAGAGGGTTGCCATTCATTTATATAGAAATTTCGACAATATTGCGATAGTTATTTGACATAAATAAATATGAACATAAATTTGATCATTTATTATTGGCAAATAGAGCCATTTTAGAATGTCAGGAAGATCATTAATATAGATAAGAAACAATGCAGAATTAAAATAGAGCCTTGCGGTAGAAGTTACTGAAAATTAAGAATAGTGCTGGCCGTCGAGGATGATTTTGCAGTTAGAAAGAAATGATACCATAATCTCTAAAACTTTCCCAGACACACAAGCTTATGGCTTTTCCCAGACAAAATAAGCTTATGGCGAAGACCAACACCAAACTTTATCAAATACCTTTGATATGTCAAAATGAATTTTGAATCAGTGGTAGGTCTTTGCAAATGGCGGTCGCATTTTTTTAATAAAAAAAGAGAAAAAGAAAAGATAAATATAAAATATAAAGATTAAAGATAAAACTAAATTATAATAACAAGTAAATAATTATTTATTTTATATGCATAAATAATTTGTTAACAATCTTAAAATAGTCGTACTTAAAAAGTTCTACAAAAAAAAAAAAAAAAAAAAAAAAAAAAAAGAACTTTGAATTACAGTTATTAAACTTATTAAAAGAAAACAAAAGAACGAAAGCGAAGTAAAAAAAAGTAAAGAAAAGAAAAAACGGGAAGAATTAAGTAAACTAAGAAAAAAGAAAGAAGAAAAAACAATAGCTGTGCTAGAAGATTGAAGTGAAATTTCAGAAGAATTTAGTTTGTTTATTTTATAATACGCTTTTAATTTAATTTATTTATTCTTATTTTATTTATTTATTTTTTTCTAGCTTTGTTTTGTTTGTCTTTTTTTTCTTTTATTGCTTATTATTATATATACTTGTTATTATTGTTATTATTATTATTGTTATTTTTACTATTATACATCTATATACATCTTTTTTTACTATTATACATCTATATACAGTCAACTCTCCTATAACGCGATGAATTCGTACCGCTTTGTATGGGAACCGTGTTATAAGAACTCGATTTGGCAGATGCATTTTTTGAAGACCACGTTATGAGGAACACACAAATTATCAAAATATATATTTTTTAATATATAACCTAAATCGCGTTATATGGAAATCTCTGTCGTGTTATATAGAAACCGCGTTATAAGAAACATAGAAGTAATATAAATTGAATCGATTTGTACCGCGTTGTATAGAATCCTAGAAATAAATAATTTTTTTTTGTTTTTTTTAGGAATAAATAAATTATGCACAAATAAATTTACTTTAGTCTAATTTTATTGTATATGGTAAGTTATTTAAATTAGAAATTAAAAACTGAACTTAAAAAAAAATTGTTTCCAACAAAAAACTAAAATGATGCATTGTAAATTCTGTTCTTATTCGTCATCGCTGTCAAATATTAGATGTCCAATCCGTCTTCTTTTCTTTCCTCTAATTAGTTGATAATCCTCTTCACTTTGAAAATTTTCTCCTTGGTTTTCAAAAGTAGTTTTATTTTGTAGTTCTTTCAAAACCTCTTTGTATGGAGCTAAGCAATTTTGAAATTCTCTTTTAAATTTTTCACTGCGTATTGTTAAAGGATCATTTTGGGTCAACTGGAAATCTAATTCTTTAGCCAAATCGAGCCCTTTTTTTAAATCATAAGTGAAGTTTAAAGCAGATTTGTTATTAGTGTCTTCTTCCACAAATGTTTCAGATGTAGACTCATCAATTAACTCTGCTAATTCTTCTTCATTTTAAACTTCGTTCTTGAAGTAGTGGTTCTATATCTTGCACTTGTATATCTGAAAATCCTTCCTTGCCAAAACTAGAAACAATCCGTGTTATTTCTTTTACTGTCTCTGAGATATTATCTTCTTTTATAACTATTTGAGGTAACAAAGGCCTCCAACATGCATTAAGTGTTGATTGTTTAATTTCTGTACAAGCTAATGAAACAATTCGAGTGCAGTCTAAAATAGAAAATTCTTTCCAAACTTCAAGTAGAGTTTTCCATTCTTGATCTTCTAATCTGCTGAAAATAACTGCAAAAAAAATTCGTATGTAATACATTTTGAAAGTTTGGATGATTCCTTGGTCCAAGGGTTGTATTAATGAAGTGCAGTTGGGAGAAAAATAAAGAACTTTCACATTTGGGTGATTTATCTCTGCACTATGACTACTGGCGTTATCAAGGATTAACAAAACTCTGAAACTTAGATTTTTTTCAACCATAAAGCTTTCTACTTGAGGGACAAAACAGTTATAAAACCAATCCTTAAATAATTCTCGAGTCATCCACGCTTTTTTATTCGCTCGCCAAAATATAGGTAACTCAGACATATTAACATTTTTGAAAGCTCGAGGATTTAAAAAATTATTTATGATCATTGGTTTTATCAATAAACTTCCTGATAAATTGCTACATATGTGTATGGTTATACGTTGTTTAGAATATTTAAACCCAGATGCTTTCTTTTCATTTATTGAAATGTAGGTTCGAGAAGGAAGTTTCTTCCAATACAATCCTGTCTCGTCCGCATTAAAAATCTGATCTGCTACATATCCCTCTTTATCGATAATTTCTGGGAGGTCCGTTTTAAATTTTTCGGCTGCTTTGACATCGGCTGAAGCCTGCTCTCCTTGAAATTTAATATTGTGCAAGGAATACCTTTTTTTTAGCTTGTCAAGCCATCCTGCACTTGCAGTAAATGAGTGATTATGTTGCTGGAGAGAAAAGTTGTCTATTCCTTTAAAATGCTCATAAATTTTAAGTGCTTTACGCTTAATAAGATTTCCACACACAGGTATCTTTTTGGAGACACAGTCTTCTAACCATATCATTAATGCTCGTTCCATTTTTATCATAATAGTATTACGTATACGAGTTGCACGCTTCGCACCTGATGGGCAACTATTTGCGACAGTTTTTCTTATTTTTTCTTCATTTTTCTTTAAGATCCGAATTGTAGATTCATTCAAATTTAACGATTTCGCAATAGAAAACACTTTCTCTCCATTCTTTAATCGATCTAAAATTGCAGTTTTCTCCATAAGAGTTATAGATTTTTTTTTCATATATTTTCTCCCTTTGATTATTTCAGTCATTTTACTAACCTATAAAAAATTTTTTTTTACCTGAATACTGTAGAAAATAAAATATTTTACCAGTGTATTTATATAATCTCCAGTAACTTAATTTTAATAAGACAAAACAATTTATTATAAATTCTAAGACAAAACAATTTATTATAAATTCTGTCACTTAACACATTTAAGCACAAAACAAATTAAAAGGAATAGTTTTTTAATTGTTTAATACGTAATTCAAATTAAGAAAAAGGGAAATACCCTCTAAATGCATACAGGCAAAACGTCAAATAAGTATTGTCATAGATTTTTTTCAAGTCATTTGATTTGTTGTCAGTTGTTGTTTTTTTCTCGCATAAATAACGTGTTAGAAAGTTCTTACGAAAATCGCGTTATATGGAGATCATATCGCGTTATAGGTGAGCGGTTCCAACTTTCACTCCGCGCTGTATGGAGATTCGCGTTGTAGAAATACCGCGTATTAGGAGAGTTGACCGTAGTTTGTTAACTAAATTACTTTAGTTTTAGTTTTACTTATTAACTTATAATACTTGGTATAAACTTTATAGTTTATTATTATATATTTTCTCTAATTATAACTAGAATATTTTACTTATATTCATTCATAATTTTTTTTTATT